AAAAAAAGAAACCCTATTTATTTTGGAGATATTGGACGAAACCAATTAACCATGAAATACGCGTTCATACTTCTTTATTCTACATAACATGATTATCATCCTCCATCCATCTCCAAACATTTTTTGGCCAACATTTCAAGCTTTTTCAGGCTCAGAAATAACTTAATTCCTGACTTACATATTCACAAATCCATCACATCCTATCAGTGAGGTTTACATACCACGGTCCATGGATGCTGATAGAAATGGTAGCTGCAGCCACCAGCACTTCAGCAGCGTCCACCACCCTTTGGGTCAGCAAACCAGCTCCCACCTGTTGGAGGGCAGTTTCTGCTAATTTTCTTCCTTGGGGACTACTGCCTCCTAGCACGACTCCTCTGGAAGCCAGATAAACAGCATGAGACACCCTTTCGAACACTACATCCCCAGCTTGAAGGCTCTTTGCCAAGGTCCTAAGCATTATGACTCTCCTCAATTGAAATTTCTCAGTATCTGCCTCCTGGACACCATCGCTTGACAATCCACTGATTATTTCAACAATTTCTTCAAGACTACTGTCTGCTGAATGGTCTAAGAGCTCCAAGAGTTGCTCAGTGCACTTTGACGCTATATTATCCATGTCTGCTGGGTTGACCAATACTTGCTCATTGATTAAGGTTTGTCGACATACAAGAATGCTGAAATTAAAATAATCAGAAATTAGAACCTAGTTCTTAAGTCAAAAATGGGAAGACAAATAACCTTCTCACCAAAAAAAAAATACTAATAATATGGAGAGAGGGAGAGAGAATAAACACCTACCTTGCTGCTATTACTATTATCTTCTGAATTTCAGCCTGAACAGCCCTCAATCTAGTGAGGTTAAGAATGAAAGTTTCAGGCAAAACCTCTGATGTGAGGCCTGAAACTTCGCTAACTAATTTTAATAAACCAAGCCTCACTAGCATTTCAACTCTTTCTCCCTTGCATTCAGGTTTTTGATGACCTGATTGAACAACATAAAACCATAAAAAAACAGGAATAAAGTGCACAGAATATGGAGATAACATGACAAATAGTTACAGACCTCTAGTACTTGTAGCAGAAGTATGGAGGGTTTGGCTTCCACTTGTTGAATTAAAACTTCCACCAGTTTTAAGGGTTGCAGAATGAATAAGGACCTGTGATGAACTTTCTTGCCTCATCAAAGCTGATAGAGACTCTGTGTGTTCTTTCCATTCCTCATCTTTGCAGTTCGATACAGATAAAAGCCACCGCATTGCCACTGGTAGAGAGGTGTGAGCATTAGAGGGAGACCCATAACGGTTGGCAAAAGCTTTCCTAAGGTAATCCAATCCAGCAGGTCCTTTTAACAAACACTCTGTCATCCTGATACGTGCTTTGCTCATCTCTAGCTTAAGAACCTGTTGAATAATTTTTGCATATAAGAGTACTATAAAGAGAACTTCACTCCTACAAGAAGGTACTTAAGTATAAATTGCATCATGAATCTTCAACAGAAAATTAGGGGAATAATAGATAAAACGCACCTGAATCTGCTCTAGGACAAAGCGTAGACCCTTAATCATTGCAACCGCAGATGAATGACTTGACTCATCCCCTGCTTGACATATCTCAGCTAACTCTCTCAACAATGCCTGGTGCTGGGCCCTCATTTGATTGTCATTTGCAGGAGAAGAGAGCTTCTGCAGAGTGCCCAGAGCAAACGCCAGAATTTTTCCAAGATAATCAATGTCCAGGTTACCTGACTTCAGCACCTAGGGAGAAAAAAAAAATACAAAAAGATTAAGATTTAAGAGAAGCTGATGTTTGGACACAATAATTACTTTGGTAACCATAAAAGAAAATGGCTGTTTACCTGACAAAGAATTTCCAGATCCATTGATTCAGTTATTTCTTCTTTCCAGCTTTGTGGAGCCATCTCACAAATCTCATCTCTTACCTCACCCACAAGATGAATAACACGGTCATAGTTGGGCTCATCCTGTCTTATAGATTCCATGATGCCATCCCAAAAAGCCTTCTCTATTGTTTCTCTTATCTTTGCCTGCAAAATGAAAATATTCAAGAGTAAAACAAATTTTCAAACATAAAATTATGATCATCCAAACAAGAAAAACATAAAATTAAGTCTGCTTCTAACACATATTCACAATGGTTCATTTAGGAGAGCAGAGTAGTAAGATAGAATTATAAACCTGGAGGCTATTTCTTACTCCTGCAATTTACACACACCTTTATGAAACAAAATTCTTCTACCAAGGATAATCTTATATATCTAAAATGCACAAACCTTAACATTGCTTTGATTTTCTTCAGCAACACTGAACCGATCAACAAATGCACAATGCTGCTTATAGAGAAATTCATGTACAATCAATTCATTTTCTGTGACCAGATGTTTTTCAATAGAAGAACCCAACTGAGCATCTGAGGAGCTACTGCTAGGCACAGAGGAACCTGAATCTGTGGATGGGGAAGCACCATCTTCCTTGAACAGGGAGCGGACTACATGATTCAACCTCTCAGTCACATGACTTATATTATCTCCACTAGCAGTAGAGGCATCTGGGGAACTAGGTGAGCTTGGAGAGAGGATGTGTGTTATTGGTGATCCTATAGGGCTACCATTTTCCTTTGCTTGCAAGTATTTAGAGCGTGTTTCAGAAAGAGCAAATTCCATTCGCTCAATCCCAGCATCTCCACTCAAGTGTTGCACTTTCTCTCTTAAAAGCTTCTGATCTTCCATCACCTGCATCATTAGAAAGTTAATAAGAAACCTCAGTGGGCAGCAGAATTAAATCCAAATCTAGAAAACAACTAAATACCTTAAAGCCAGCCTCCTGATAGGAAAATTTAAAACCAAGTAAAATCAATCTACACTTGAAAGTCCAGTCAACAAAAAGTGTAAGGACAAGACCTGTTTTTGAATAGCCTTTATGTCATGGCTAAGTTCAGAATTATCTCCTTTTGGAGTCAGCTTGCAATTTTGAATCATAGAGAGCTCAAGTTGGCAAGCTGCACTTAGCAAATCCTCCTCCAATGACTGAGCATCTTTAACCTTCCACACAACAAAGCAATTCAGGTAGGAGCACCATGCTTTATCAAACAGCGCTAGCTGTGACCTGAAGGTCTGGTGTTTGGGTAATGCACAGGCAGAGCCTTCATCAGAACTCTGTATTGGCCCCTCTAGAATAATATTTATCAACAGCTCAAATTCTTGAATAAATGCTTCCGTAGACTTTGCCAAAGTTATCTCTTGCTCCCCCTGACTGCTGAAAACTGCATCCGGATGGCCCAATTTCATATAGGCACAAAGAACTATTCTGACAGGATATCTTGATAGCTTAGCTGGACTTCTAGTTGGCTCCTTGAGAGAAGACACTCCCTTTGACTCTCTGCTCTGCACAGAAATCCTGGGAGTGGTTCTTCTCTTAGGAGTTGCAACTCTTTTGAGAAGGTGATCAATGTTATCCAAACTGGGTGGATGACTAACGGCACCAACAGTTCTTGAGACTTTAAAATGACTTTCAATCCGATCAAGTAAAGCTTTTGCTGTTTGAAGGGTAGTATTTGATTCAATAAAAAGGGCAAGTGGCTCAAATGGCATAGACTTTACGGTACTTTTGTTAATCTTCAATCCATCAAAGGCCTTTGCCAAGTCTAAGGTAGTTTTCCTTAGCTTACTGAACTGCCTCCAGCAGCTACATCAATGCAAAAGCTTAAGTACTAGAAAATAAATACATGGTTCTAGTTCTTTAGATATCTTTACTAAACAACTAAACTGGAAAATATGCTGCAATTAAAGACAACATAAAACCATCAACATCTATACCCTAAGACAAGATATACAAGAAAAAACTAATGAAATTCACATGTAGACTAGAAAGTGCAATATTAAAGCCATCTCAGCTAACAAAATGGTCAAATCAAAAACAGTAATGAACAAACTGGAGGTAGGATACCTTGCCAATTTCTGGGAAAGCAGATCAGATTGCTTGTGCATCTTATTCCAGTTCATTCTGACAGAATTGTGTAGCCTTCCTCTCTGCCTCAGGTATTCTGCTCTTTGCCTTTTTGCCTAGTTATTCAGAAGCCTCTATAAGAAAATATTATGCACACAATATAAAATCTACCTGCTAGCCTAATTTTACTTGAAGATGGATAAACGTTCTGCAGAATTCAAAATCACGCATACCCTTTGCAATTTATCTTCCAACTGCCCCCTCATTCTGCTTCTCTCAACCTCACATTGGTGAGAGACAGAGCTGGCAACCCTCTGAACCCGTAAAAACCTAGCTCGTGCTCTCTTCGCTTCCAGCAATCCCAGTCGCTTCTTCTCTGCAGCTGCACGCTTTTGGTGAATTGCAGCACGCACACGCTCCTTATACTTGCTTTCTCTAGCCATCCTTCTCAATAATGACTGGGATGATCTCTCCTTAATTGTGGCCCTTCTTTGACTATATGCCTTGAGAATAAGCATTCTATTTACCTCCGCCTGCTGAAACCGTGATGCCACCTTTGTGCCAAGCTTCTCACGTTCATTCTCAAAACGCCTTTCCAGCCCAGTTTTAACTGCTTGCCGTAACTCATCCAACCTAGCAAGTCGCATCTGGGCCTTTGCCAAAATGCTTAATCTGTTGGTTCCACAATCAGTTAAATTACAAACAAATAACTTTGGGAATGACGTTATGAAATACAATCCCATTGATGTTAC